GTGCCCCCCAACCCCAACCCCCCTAACCGGTGCAACAAGATACCATGGTCGATGGTATCAAAAGCCGCTGAGAGGTCTAACAGGACCAGGATAGAGGAACAGCCTCTATCCCGAGCCCTCCAGAGATCATCAACCAACGCGACCAATGCCGTTTCCGTGCTGTGCCCAGGCCGGAAGCCGGACTGGCGCGAGTCTAGATGACAGTTTCTTCCAGGTGCTGAGGGAGCTGTCGTGCCACCACACTCTCAACAACCTTCGCAAGAAAGCGAAGGTTGGAGACAGGCCGGTAGTTGGCCAAAACAGCCGGGTCCAGGGAGGGCTTCTTGAGGAGGGGCCTCACCACAGCCTCTTTCAAGGCAGCCGGCAAGAACCCCTCACTCAAAGAAGCGTTGACGATTCCCTGGAGCCAGCCTCGTGTAACCTCCCGGGAGGCCAGTACCAGCCAGAAGGGACACGGGTCCAGTAAACATGTGGTGGTGTTCAGCCATCCCAGCATCCTGTCCATGTCCTCGGGGGTCACAGGATCAAACTCTTCCCACAAAATGGACTCAAGACCTGCCTCCATTGGCCCGCCTAAACTAGTCCAATCGGAGGCCAACCCGGCCCGGATCCGATCGATTTTGTCATGCAGGTAACACCCAAATTCCTCTGCCCGACCCTGCAAATGGATATCCCGGACCCTCTGATGAAGGAGGGAGTGGGACACCCTAAACAGGGCGGCAGATCGGTTACCTGCAGACGCGATAAGAGTGGAGAAATAGTTGCGTTTCGCCGCTCTTATCACTACTAGGTAAGTCCTTAAATGGGACTTTACCAATTTCCGAACGGATTCAGAGCAGGTGGTCCTCCAATTACTCTCTAGGCATCTCTTCCGATGCTTCATCATCCTCAGCTCCTCGGAAAACCAAGGAGCCAAGGTAGACCGGCATCGGGTGAGAGGCCGCAAAGGCACGACCCGGTCCAGGGCCCCCACGGCCGCACCATTCCAGGCGGCCACCAGGTCGTCAGTCGAGCCGCGGGTCAAGGTCTCAGGTATTGGCCCAAGCTCCGTCTGGAACCTCTCAGGGTCCATCAGGCGCCTGGGGCGGAACCATTTTGTCACTTCTGGTTCCGCCTCCCCGCGGTGGGGTGTAGCGGTAGGAAAGGCCAGCCGAAGGAGAGAGTGAT